CCGGAGTCATGGCAGCGACAGCCGGTCCGTCTCATGGAAACATTCTGCGGAACTTTGGAACATTCTAAAGAGTGGAACCAAATTTCCCGTCCAGTCGGCAACCAAGTTCGGCTTTGATGCCTTGACACAACACAACCTCTTCACGGCTAAATGGCAGGCTCTCTCGCCGTGGGCGGGAGAAAGAAAGGCGCCACGACCACACCGAATCCGGCGAGAAACCGAGAGGAAAAAACCACGGTATCAACTACGTCCGTATCCTTTTTGGCTCGAGTTTCAAAGCCCTGGTTCAGTGGCGTCTGGGACTTTCTTGGTGCTCGGTGCTCGCCATGATGGCTTCTTTTCTTTTTGTCGCGGCTGATGTGAGGTTTTCGCAGAAAACTTGCGGAGCTTCGCAACGCCGAACAACCCGTTTTTCCTTGTTTTGCCAACGCCATTCCCACCGCGTGGCTCATTGCGTCACCAGAGAACCGAAAGCCTCGGTCAATCTTGAACGGTTAAACGGTGATGGGCTGTCAAAATCCCAAGGCAAAGGAATGCCCTTGGTGCACACGCTCACGAGCAAGAGATCTCGGCTGTCCCGCGGGTAAAGGGTTCCAGCAAGCCGACGACGGCTAGGCACCGAAATTTGGTCCCTTGACATCCGCTCGCCCTAGTAATCAAGAGCCATGAGAGACACACGCAGAGAGAGAGAGAGAAGGGTTGGCGCGGACCGCCATCTTGGTCTGTTTCCTCTGTTCCCCGAGGCCGGTAAATGAGACGTCTCCGGCTTCTTGGGAATTGGGAGCCCAAGCTCGGGTTTCGCTCGGGTATACTAAGATGAAGGAAGCAAAATGGCGTCAAAATGAAGGGGAAGGGGGGGGAGAGAAGAAGAAGAAGAAGAAGAGCGAGGGGGGAGGGGGTGTGATTGCTGCTTGGACGCTACGACTCAAGTCCCGAGTAAATGAGTAATGAAGGCTGTTCCTAGCCGGTTTCGAAAGAAACTTGGGCAATGCTACCATGGCCGTGGCTAGAGAGCGGCACGCCCCTAGCTTATTCATCTCTTTTCCCCCAGGAAATTTGACAGCCCGGTTTTACCCCAAAGCCACACACAGACAATGAAACCCAGGGCAGAGAGCAAAAAAAGCAAGGTGTGGCTTTGGGTCCCTTGCAAAATGCTACCTTAGGTAATCCCCGTCGTTGGTATGCCCGGCGCTCCCACGTGCGGCGCATTCGGCGTAGCGTTCTGGGTCTCCGTTCAAATTTCTCGGGAGCGCTTCCCCGGCCCGCGCGAGCTCCCCCTGCCTTTTTTTTTTCTTCCCCAAAAGACAAATTCACGGACATGGATCGTTTTCTTTGCCGCTTTAGGCATGAGCAAGAGATGGACGAACGCCTTTTTGGAGCACAGGGTCCCTTATTTTGCTTTGCTTTTTTCTGCCTAGGGGACGGTTCCGGTCTTGTTAGTTCCCAATGCCATGGAACGTCGCGAGTCGCGGCCGGCCCCTTGCATGTAGCATCTGGGAAAAGCCGCCTAGCCTTCCGGATCGTGTCCCGGTGGTGTTAGTCTTTTGTGATAGCTGACTTTTGCTTTGCTTTTTTTCTTTTTTCTCTTTACGAGCACCCCGTTTACGGTAGTTGGTAGTCTTTTAGCATCGCCGACCAAAAAGCTGCCTCATATGACAACTCATCTTTTCTCTTCCTTTTACCACTGAAGTAAAAAAAACTGACATGTCGTGCAGGAGAGGCTGAAAATGTCCCAGCTGTACGGAGCGACGGCGTTAACCAGCCATGAAACCGGCTTCTTGGGAAGAAAAGAGGCGAACTGACGGGGAAATTGGATGAGGCTATTTTCAAGAATCGTCCCAAGAAAAAATAAAACCGAGATGTCAAACAAGGTAGCCCAGCCCAAGATTTTCTCTCTCTCCCAAAAGCTCGGCCCTTCCAGGGGTTTTTCTTTCGATACACACCCTCTATTTTACGGTCCCGTGTTTCTGGGTCCCGCGAGCGAGAAAAAAAAGGTTCGGCGCTGTTTCTTCTCACCGAGGACCTTTTTTTTTGGCGTCTTCACTCTCTGTTGTTGGGTCCCTGGGTATGGATTCCTAAATTGGCCTTGCAAATAACACGGGTCCCCTCCCCCGGTGCTTTTAAAGTGAGGGCCCCGCAGTTGGCCCGAGGACTTGGGTTCTTTTTTTTTTTTTTTGCGCCGCCGCGGAAGCAGGCCCGGGGAAACCGGTGAGGAGAATCCGGATGATTACGCGCAGGAGTAGGAGATTCTTCGGGGTTTTGGCCCAAGGCAACGGATTACATCGAGGGAACCTTGAAGGGAAGAATATGCGGGGAGGAGAGGGCAAAAAAAAGGGGGAGCTCTTCTTAGTCATTAATTGAAGTGGCTTTTCCCAATTGGAAACAAAAGGCGTCATTGGTCTAGGGGTTAGGATTCAACTCTTCCATTTGACTATTGAAAAGTTGAGGCCCGGATTCGAGTTCCGGATGACGCATTTTTTTGATTCTCGACACAGCGCAGTCGTCCACCCTTTTTTTTGTCCCTGTCTTTTGATGTATACCTAGTAGGTAGTAATTGATGTGTGAATAACAGTATACATGTGTTGCATTGGGTACCTGTTTACAAAGGGTATAGGAGCAACTGATCTGGCAAAGTTCACAAACACATGCTCGTGATATCTCACCTACCCGGGATACAATCGATGCAAAAATATGGGGAACGTCGCATCTCCTCTCTACCATGGACACGGTGAGAGAATCATCTCTCTACTCACCACCGGGACGATATTGTGGCTCTCGTTTCCACAGTATCCCTTCAAGCGGAAAGGGGCCACTTTCTGCTCCCTCACCGAGATCCGTATTGATCAACCTCAGCATCCACTTTTCAGTACCAGATTGGAAGCCGTCACTGCTCCAGTACGGACAGCCAAGTAAAACTCCACTGGCCGTGCGCCGGCTGTCGACCGTCCATGCTTCTGCTGCCTGGCCGGTGTGTACATGTATGTACCGGCTTCCGTATGGGGACAGTCACACGCACATCCACAGAGCAGAACATGGCTTGCATGACTCTCCCGTGCCCAGACGGCGTCAGGCACAAGGGGCACCGAATCGGGACCAAGGCCATCTCGATTATGCAACACAGAGGAGTCACATGTCGTTCCAGCCAGGTGGTTCGTCCAAAGCCCGCCCAGACGAAATGTGTATGAAAACGGGGCAAAGTGGCCCCCAGGGCGGTATTACCTATGTATGTACTTGTTGTATATCTGTCAAGCAACCCCAGAAAACCAGACGCCAAACACCGCTGCCTATGATCCAAGTTGCGGGACGTAAAAGGGCTTTGTGCCTGCTCTAACTGCGCAGGGCATCTAATCGATTCCTCATCTGGTCCATCATTGCCTCCGCATCCTCCTCGTCCTCCTCTTCCTCCGCCGCCAATTTCTCCGGCTCGGGGATGGGCGCGGCCGGGAGGGACGGCTCCTTCTTGTCCTTGAGGACCTCGCCCAAGATCTTTTCAATCTCACCCTCCGCCTCTTCATCTTCTCCTAGCATATCCATGTCCTCGGGCAGCGATTCATCAATCATCTCCTCGATGATGCCTGCCTTCATCAGCTCGACGCTGAGCTCTCGCATCGTGCCGGACAACTCGGGCAACCGGATGAGGGTGTTGACGTCCTTCATGATGCCGACGCTGGCTCGGATGGAGCCCTCAATCTTACGAACGGCAAAGGCTTCGTTGACCTGCATCTGCACCGAGTTGAGCTGCGCTTTCGAGGTGACTAGCCGCGCCGACGTCTTCCGGGCTCGGACCAGCTCGCGCGCAAAGTCTCGGACTTCCTTCTGCGCTTGCTTGGCCCTCGTGGGATCTCGCTGAGCGCGCTTGTCTGCTTGTACGATGAGGTTCTTGGTCTTGATCTCGACCTGCTTGACCTGAGCGATATCGCGATCGAGTTTTCGGACGTTGGCTCGGAGCAGAGCGTTGCATTTCCGCATCTGTTGTACATTGTAAGTCCATGGGTCGACGAGCTAGATGGCAAAAGCCTTGCGGCAGAACAAAGCGCCGTACCTGCTGCTGGGGATCCGGCTTTACGAATAGGGATTTAAACGTCTCCATGGCGATGACGGGAGGATGCCGCGTACGCTGGCTCGCGGCCCAATGCTGAACAAGACGCGAGGTCGCGGTCTATCTCATCCGCAGGAAGAAGCACAAAGACGGCGCTGGGGGGAGCCGAGGCGGCCGGATATGCGTCGTGACGGGGATCTCTTATCTCGATGGGAAAGGTTCCAAGACGGCAGCCTTGGGAAGACGGACTCGTCACTCGTCACTGGAGTTGAGGCTGGGCGTTCAGCCACAGTGTGGCTCGAGTCAGGCCAGCCCGAGCATTACCCCGCCGCAAGCTCTGATGAGTTTGTCGCCGAGAAGGGAAATATCGCAGCACAGCAAAGTGCCAATGCGAATTGACCGAGTCAAAAGGGAGATGCTATGCGTGGGAGAATACTGAATTCAATTCGATTATTGGTCGGATACCAGAGGATTGAGTGGTTAGCATCATGCCATGATCAACTGCAGTGCTCTGAATCCTCTCCATCTCATCACCGTCCGGGAGTTGAGTTGAATTTGAACCAATGCTGACAAGCTCCATGTAATTCCGCTGTCTCTGCTCAACAGCACAAGGAGCTGGCGTGGCGCAGATGCGAACACGCTATGGCAAATGCAGTGGAGGCGTTAGCGCGGTACCTGCTGTACGCATCTGCCGCGGCGCTGGGGAGGGGTACCGCCTCATCGTGCCCCTCATCAGCCCTGCCGCCAAATCTTTTGCCTTCTGACGCTTTCCATAACTGCCTTGAGTCGTTTCACTCAACCTGCTGTGCTCCTGTCCAGCCTTATTCACTTGCTCTCTTTAGCATCCTCTTTTCCCAAACCCACCAGCTCTTTTGCGCCCAACCTTCGCCGGCTTTGCCAATCTCTCTTGTCTTCAACCACCCTCAACTCCTAATACCAACAACCCCCGCACGCACACACCATGGCCGAGACGTTGACTCCCGAAGGTGTGTTAATCTGCCCAGCCGCGCTGTCTGCTGCCCCCGGACACGCTCCCCATTCCCTGCCACCACGCCCTATTGCTTCCAGTTAACCGCGTCGCTTCGATGCTGCTCCGGTTGCTAGAATTGCCAGGGCAGCGCCCTTGTTTGACGGTGGAATCCAAGCTGACGCTGTTGCTTCTGACCTCTAGTTCTCTGGGCCCAGCGCTCCTCTGTGGCTGACGCTGCCAAGAACTTCATCTACCTGACCATCTCCGTCCCTGACGTCCCCAAAGAAGACCTGCAGCTGGACCTGAAGCCTACCGGCGTCACCTTCACCGGCACCTCGTCCACCCTGAAGAAGAAGTACCACGTCGAGCTTGAGCTGTACGCCGAGATCGACCCTGCTGAGAGCCGTGTTAACCACACTGCCAAGAACATTGAGATGAAGCTGCAGAAGAAGGAGCTCAAGGAGGAGTACTGGCCGCGGTTGCTCAAGGTTGCCCAGAAGCTCCACTTCCTCAAGACCGACTTCGACAAGTGGGTTGATGAGGATGAGCAGAACGAGGCTGCCGAAGACGACATGTCCAAGTTTGGAGATATGGGTGAGTAATTCTTTACTGGCGCCAAGGTGTCTGGTTGCATCTACATTGGTAATCGTTTCTGACATGATGAAATAGGCGGCATGCCCGGAATGGGTACGTGACTTTAAACTCAACACCGCTCTCTGCTCGACCAGCCCTTTTTATTCTCTGCCCTGCAATCGTTCAAAGGCTAACCATTCTTGCGCCTTAGGTGGTGACTTTGGCGGAATCGACTTCTCCAAGCTGGGAGGCGGCGCTGGCGGCATGCCCGACATGAGCGGCATGGGCCTGGAGGGCATGCCCGACCTGAGCAGCTCCGGAGTCCCCGACTCCGACTCCGAGGATGAAGACGAGGACATGCCCGGGCTTGAGGGTGACGAGGAAAAGAAGGCCGAGGGTGAGGCCGCACCAAAGGCGTAAACTGGGCCGTTTAATGAGATACACTGGAAACGGATCTTGGCGTGCCTCATTTTTTTCGGGACCGACGGCAAGTACTTGGGAGTACGGATCTTTAAATGTAAAAAAAATCGATTAAATCTAAAATACCTCTTTTGTTTCGGAGGGGTTTCCTTTCCAATCTCTTGTTTTCTTTTTTCGTGTCTCGGTCAAGGGCTCTGAAGATTGGAAACTGCTTTTGGGTAGAGTCCGTATCAACCCAAGCTTGCATGTTGAAGTGTACCGCTCCCATTATTTGTCATTTGTTGAAAATTCAACTCTTGACCTGTAGGTGCATACGTTTGAGAGGGTTGTTGTCCAGCAACGTTAAGACAGCTACCCAACAACCAGTGTCTCAAAATGTGACTGATGTCAGACAATGAGTGCCAATACTAGGAAGAAAAGAGCAATAGCAGAAAAGAGGAGCGACACTGGAAGAAAGTGGCGATGGCAGCACATATTTCAAGCACCCGATATATCCTTAAGCACTACCTAGTAAAAGGTGCTTTCCTCGTCATGGCTTCATTATACTTGAACTGCACGTTGATAACTTAACTTGGGTTGCTGGCAACCATTCCCCTCTTTCATTACTTAGTAACACCCCGGACTCGGCGGGTTGCTAATACGGAGACGCTTCAGACTCAAGTACACCGTTCCTTTTATTCACACTTGATCACTCAAAGACACTTTCCATTGCCGGGTATCGCATATTATTCGTATGTAAACTACTTGCCAGCACCCGATCGCGTGCTCCAATCCAGTGAGAGGAAAAGAGCGGTAAAAAATTAATAAAAAAAAAGCAGATATTTGGTGTCCTACTCCAAAGCTTCCTCACCACCGCTAGACATTCTGTTATAGTAACAACAACATCTCTCTGCGAGCGACTTCAAATGGCGCATTATACCCTAGCGCGTGCTGAGCCGGTTTCATTTTTTTTCTCGTTTATTGATATCTAAACCACGAGTCCCCAGGAACGCCTGCCATCACACCCGTTATAAGAAAAATGTAAAGTACCGTCATTACTGTATCATGATTAGCCGCGTCCTCATTGCTGGAATGGATTCGAACATACCATAATCTCATCCTCCATGGCAGCATCGCCGTTGGTGGGAGCAGCGGCAGCAGCAGCCGGAGCGGCACCGGAGGCATCAGCGTTATTGGCACCGACAAAGTAATCTGCCATCTCCGAGTCGAGCTCCTCGGCGGTCTTCTTGGCAGGGCGGGCATTACGGCCGCGGCGCTTCTTGTTAGCATTCGCGGCAGCTCCCTTGGCACCGCCGGCTTTTGCGGCAGTGGTGTTCTGCTTCTTGCCAGCGGCGGACTTGGGCTGGGCCTTGGGTTGGCTTTGTAAAAGTTAGTTGATGGTCGTTGTTGCGGAAATTGAATCGGAGAGACAAACGTTGTGCGCTCAGCTAGAGTCCTAATCGGAGGAATAACCTTGTCGGCCTGGGCAGCTCCGACAATGATTTCAATCTGGGTACTCAATGATAAGCTTACATCACTCCCGGTTGCTGTTTGGTAGAAATAATTTACCTTGATGGGACGGCCGTCGACCAACAATCCGTTAAGAGTCGAGAGTGCCTTGGAAGCACCCTCGGGCTTGCTGAAGGTGACGTTGGCGATACCTCGGCTTTGGGAGTTGGGGCCGTAGGACAGTTCAACCTTCTTGATGGGGCCGACAGATTGAACAAAGTATTCCTAGGGAGCAAGCAGTGTCAGTTAAGCGGAAGCGAAGGATTGTATAAACATGCTGTCTCCGACTTCGAGTATTTTGCCGATCCAGTCCCAGAACCATTTCGATGGAATAGAAAATGTGACAAGACCAGCGAGCGTAGCAGCGAGCAGCAAACCAGGATGCAGCACAAAAGAGCGTAGAGCAGCTATCTTCCCCCAGAGGAAAGCAAATAACAAAAAGAATCAAGGGCGCCAAAAAGATCCGCATGAGTTATCTGACGGACGATAGCCTTGACGGATTCACAAGTGAATGAAAGGATATCCGCCATGACGCCCAACCACCGACATTTGTTTGAAACAGCCCCTCAAGAGCAACTGCGCTCAAAATAGATAGGCCCTTGACATGAAATACGGGGTTCCTGGATATACGTGCCCACTGCATTGCTCGCTCGACCGACCGACTGACTAGTGCCAGTGATTTCTGGTTTGCTCAAAGGCAGTGTCTCATTGCCACCACGCTTAAGCGCCTGTGGGAGAGCTGCCACAATCCCCATGGTAGTTATCGCATGCTTCGATAAAATACTGACCAGGTATTTCAAAGCCTTTGTGCGAAACGAGGATGGCCTCGACTTGCCAATGCTGCGCGTGCCGTTGTGTAACGAGCGCCGACAAAGGAAGGAGGCTTGAGCAGTACAAAGGCTTGAGCCATAAAGGCAGTGTCAAAGCCTCTTAGAGGGATGGCCGTCTCGATGAATCAAGTACGGCTAGGAAGAAAACGTCGAACAAAGTCCGGAGACGAAAGAGGTCTCAACGGAAACATACCTTGATCTGCTTCTCCGTCACGTCCTTGGGCTGGGCGATATTAGCGACCGTCACACTGACTGGTCAAGAGAGAGTCGGACGACATACCAAGTTGCTGACGATGACCTTGCTGTCGCTGCTAGGAATAGCAGCCTTGATGGGTGTAGCCTTTGCGGCAGAGCCACGAGAATTCTTGGCAGCGGCCTTCTGAATACCGCCGGCAGGGGCGGTGGGAGCAGGGCGACCGGTGGTTGATCGTCGCAGGGAGCGGCGACGAACAGAGTCGCGGCGCTTGGCGCTGACGATCTCGTCAAGAGGCTTATCAAGCTTGGTAGACATGATGAAGAGTTTGGAAGTTGACGGAAGGTGGTGGTGAGAAAATGCAGGCGGAAGAAAAACTGTCGAGTAGCGGTGTCGACAGCGGCTGGTCAAGATTGACAAAGGTAGCAGTCAATCAGGAATAGACGATCAAGGATGTAGAATCGCGAGAAGCGGCTCCAATCAGGCTTAACCGAAGAAATGCGCGAGCTGGGGTTCGTCGACGGTGGCTCAGATCACAGCGTACGAGGCGAGGAAGCTTCGGCAAGGGCGCGTTTTTTCCCAGTCAAACTAGTTGGCAGAGTTGACGAGAGAGAGGAAGAAAAAACCGGCTGCAGTCCAGCACGGTAAAGAAGTCGAAAGTGAAGAGAGGGCTGGGTGTGCTTGCGGGTTGCGAAGACACAGGATTGGGTTTGGAATGGAGATGCGAGAGGGAAAGGCGAAGTTTGAGAAGAGGGGAGTGCGAGCGATGGGTAAATAAGCACGGGCGCAGGAACGCGTGCCTGGCAAGCCTGTGCTGGGACAGTCAGAGTCAGAGGCTCAGCGCTGCCGGTGGCTGCTAGCGCCTTGAAAGCAGGGGCCTCCCTTCTGCTGAATCCTTCTACCACCTCACCTAATAGGCTGCACGTGGAGGTACTTGGCGCCAACCACAGCGCACTGCGGAAGCGCTTGTACCTTGCGGCACGCCTCACCTCATATTTTCCCGTTCCAACGGCACACAGTCGTCGCATCAGTCAGCCAGCTCGACTTATCGTAATAACATGCAGTCGGACTTGGTGAGACAGGCCGCTAATGCAATCAGCAATTCCAGGTCTGGCATAAGCCCGCGATACGATGGCCATCTGCGCGTGCTGGCGGCGATAATGTGCATAGACCCCGTGGGCAGACAAGCTTTTGCCACCAATCTCTTGGGGAATATGATGGTAATGAGGCGGGCCTTGTACAAATGAGGGTCTGACTATCTCGAGCCTCCCTGGTTCAAGCTCCCGCGATGAGAAGCCGGCGAGAGCCGGGATTTGTTTGGTAGTCTCGTCTCTTTGGAGTAGGAGCAGTACCATTGGCGCTTGGACAATAAAAACTGCTGTTATAGCTGAGCTCCTAATGGATATAAGCGATGAGATAGTCTTCGGATCCTTTCATACACTGGTGTTCGTGGGATGGGATGACAAAAAGGACACTACTAATACTCTACATGTCACACGAGTATATGCTTGTCTTTACGATGATGCATGGCTGATGCGGTTTGAAACTATTTCCTGGATGATTACAGGCTGACCCACGGTGGGAAGACTAACCATGACGCGAATGTATGTCGCCGCTTGGTGTCTGGATTAAAGGGCATACAGGACGGCCAGGTATATGGTTGATGCATGCGCCAACCAAAGTGTGGGATCGTTGAGGAATTTCAAAGATTGATTGAGATGTTTTTGGACGTGGTTATTCCATGCCGATTGCCCTTGTAGCCTCTCCTGCTCTCTGCCTTTTAAAGTGGTATCAAAAGCTGGCATTTCTTCTTCTCAATGTCCCGCTATCAACTCCAAGACACTACCCGATTCTCGCTCTGTCGTCCCGCTAGAATTGTCCTTTCAGATACATTTTGACTTTTTCGTGCAATTCGTTTGTTTGTTCGTTCGTGCGATTGTGTGCGGCGTGATGCTTCGAAAGCACCAATGGCGTATTATTGCACTCGTTCCTTCTCCATGTCGTGTGCTACCCTCATGATGCCTTCTTTACTGCGGCGGCTGACTTGTCTTCTGAGTTTACCTCCAGGAAGTGGTATACCACAATGAGCAGCATGGAGATAGAGCCCAGAAAGATGGCCAGCTTGTAGAGGTCGTCGTCGGAAATCATGTTGAAGGCGCTGGAGCAGGAACTTGATCTGGGTTGAGCTCACTGGAATACCGCAATCTACAGGCTGAAGAAGCGCCAATTGGTCAGTCGTGATTCAGAAATAACGCGCAGCAGGCCAGATTGGTAATTCCACGCTCACCTAGGACGCTGGTATGGTCGTGATGAAAAGCTCTGGATTTGACAGCCCTCGGCGCAACGCTGCTACTGTAGAAGGACACCTGTGTCTGTATAGCTCGGGCTGACGACGTGTTGCATTGGCCAGTTCTCGATCTAGATGCGGCTTAGCCTGTCTGATGAGAGAAGCCAGTGTACTTTGTACTCAGATGCCTTAAAGCGGTGGGAAATATGGGGGCCGTCCACGTGATCACAGTGACTTCATCCGCCCACTGGACTTTGACAACCCACCAAACTTAGACCCAACTTGTGTCCAGCGAAGAATCGCCGCCACAGCTTAAAAAAAAAAAACCAACTACAATTTCTTACTTCTTTGACCCTCCTTTGACAGGATATCTCTGGGGTTAGGAAGAGAGGGGCCTTCCGGGATAATCGAATACTCTTTCCGGATTGTTTTTTTCCCGGCGCATCTACTTTCTACATTCTACCGCTTCCCATTGACTTTTCCACCCCCACTGAAAGCGTCCATCGCCCATCGCCCATCGATTGCCCATCATGCCGCCGAAGAAGGAGAAGCCAGCCGGTGGCAAGAAGCCATCTGCCGCCAAGTTGGTGGAGGATAGAACGTTTGGAATGAAGAACAAGAAGGGAGCGCAGGCCCAGAGACATATCCAGCAGATGACAGCCAACCTGCAGGGCAGTGGCAGTGCCGAAGAGAGGAAGAAGGCGGCCGAAAAGGCCCAGCGTGAGAAGGAGAAGAAGGCGGCAGAAGACGCCAAGCGAGAGACGGATGCTCTTCTCAACAAGCCGGCCCAGATTCAAAAGGTGCCCTTCGGCGTGGACCCCAAAACAGTCGTCTGCATCTTCTACAAAAAGGGCGACTGCGAAAAAGGAAAGAAGTGCAAGTTTGCTCACGACTTGAGCATCGAACGAAAGACGGAAAAGAAGAACCTATACACAGATGTTAGACAAGAGGAGGAGGAGAAAAAGAAGGAGGAGACTTCTGCAGACTGGACCGAAGAGCAGCTGATGAAGGTTGTCCTATCGAAGAAGGGCAACCAAAAGACCACAACGGACAAGGTGTGCAAGTTCTTCATCCAGGCCATTGAGGATGGCAAGTATGGTTGGTTCTGGATATGTCCAAACGGTGGTGACAAGTGCATGTATAAGCACGCTCTGCCACCTGGGTACGTCAATTGCAATCGACAGCCCCACAATCTCTGGCGTTTACTAACCTGGGGGTTTCTAGATTTGTTCTCAAGACAAAGGAGCAGAGAGCAGCGGAGAAGGCATTGCTTGACAAATCACCGCTCAAGACTCTGACTCTTGAAGATTTCTTGGAATCGGAGCGCCACAGGCTTACTGGAACCCTGACACCAGTCACCCCAGAGACCTTTGCCAAATGGAAGAAGGAACGTCTGGACAAGAAGGCCGCCGAAGAACAGGCTCGCAAGGCCAAGGACAACACCGGCCGTGCTCTCTTTGAGAGTGGCAAGTGGAGGGACGACGATTCCGAAGCGGAGAGCGACGATGAAGACGACGATACTTGGAATCTTGAGAAGCTACGTCGTGAGACGGAGGCTCTCCGACAGAAGAAAGAAGAGGAACGACTCATGGCTATGCATGGTGGAGTACTCCCGGTGGCTGTACCGGAAGAAGAAGAAGCTGTTGGAAATGGCGACAGCAGTGACGGCGTTACTGGAGATGCGGACAAACCCGCGGCCACACAGGCTGGTCAAGAAGTAGCGGCGTCTTGAACAGCTACGGAAAAACATTTAAAGTCGATGTGACTTCAAACCCCCCATCTCTACGAAATGCTGCGAGAGGGAATTCCGAGCACCTGCTGGAGCCACAGAGATCAATGGTCTCCAGGAGGGCCGCGGTGACTTGCTATTCGTCAAAGAAAGCTCGTTACCTTGGATACGTGGGTGGCTGCGGCGGCAGTCGTACACGTACCTCATATTACTAGTCTACTTTGCCCCGTATAGAATAGTACCGCATCAGTTTCACACTGGAAATGATATTGATGGGAAGGGCCTTGAAGGATAAAAGGGATAGATGGAGGGGATTGCGGGCCAAGCTTTTCTTCCCCGAGGCCGCAAAGGTCTACTCAAGGAAGCAAGCAAGCAAGCAAGCAAAAAATGCAGCCAGAACAAAGCAGATACGCCAAGAGTGTAGGGAGCACTCGATGAGCTGTTTGCACATTACATTATCAAAAGCATATATAAACATTTAGCCATGTCGGCCTTGAATAGCATTGGAAGTGCATCAGTGTACCTAGGTAGGCATCAATATGACCGCCGAGGGGATGCTTGTGATGTTGTCAATTAGTTTGTCCACGTTGCTCGGCTCGAGTGTGCCCGAGAGAGGAAATAGACGAATGAATAAATGAATGAAGAATAAATAATACGACGAGACAAAATAAAACGTGGTCAGATTCAACGCCGGCCTGAGCGGTCGGAAATGGCAACATGAGATTGATTTGATACCAGTCACATATGACGCAGTGCCGTTGCATTGGGATGCAGATACAGCGGTGGATTGTCACTGGCCATGGCCATGGCCATGCCTTTGGCAACCAGGCAAGGGTTTCTGCTGGTCCAACCAAGGCCCGTCATGATAAGCTGGCTCCCGCCTGATGACGTCCTTGAGCAGCAGCCAAACACATGGCAGTGCAGCCACCCAGAAACGGGCCGCTTGTCGAGGCCAATTGAGCTGGATATTGGGATTGACATCTGTACTTGATGCTTTTGGTATTGGGATTGAATGTTTTAGAGGTCTGTTGGGGGGGTGCTATAAGGTAGGCTGGTTGGGTGAGACAGAGAGACGGCAAAAGGTGGCATGTGACGAACAAAGGCCAACCAGCCAGTTACTCGTACAGTATCAATATAACAGTGACAGTGACAGTGACAGTAACAGTAACAGTAACAGTAACAGTAACAAGCCCTGGAGAAAGACTGAATTGATAGCGATGGACATCAATAGCAGGCCAGGTAGCCCGAGGGGCTGCATTGCGGGGTCGGATGGCGGCTCAGTGCAGCGCTGTGACCTCATGCCCTAGCAAAGCACCGCCAGAGCTTCCCCACAGCGGCTCCCCGTCGGCATCTGAGCATTTGAACTCCAAACCATGGGCTGTCGAGGGCCTCTGGCTAGTTCTCCCCCCCCTCACCAGGTCGCCTGTGCGTGGGAATCGTTGCAGCGTCGAGGGCTGCTCGGGTATCGCCATTCACCAGTGACTGTTGGCCATTGCCATTGGGCGCAACAAGCCGCCATTCACGCCGCGGCAACGCTCAACGCTCAACGCTCAACGACGACGACGACAGCAGCGGAACCGGCTCTTGCATCTGCAGTCCTGCATCCGAATCATTCATCGCCAGAGACGGCCTTTGGGGCTTGACCCAATTCCATTCCATTCCAATCTCCATCCGACCACTTCGTTTCGCCTCTTGGTTCCGAATTCACTTCAAGTCCAGTTCAGCCCGGCTCAAGCTCCCCTTCTCTCTCTCTCTCTCTCTCTCTCTCTCTCTCTCGTATACGCTCCTGAAACTAAACTCGGGTTTCGTCTTCCTTTTGCCAACGACCGCCCCGACTCACTCCTTTTCCCAATTCTCGACCACCCGCTACCAAGTTCGTCCGCGTGCGACGACAACCGTCCCGGACCTTTGCGTTCGAGGCTCTTGATGGACAAGAGGCTGCTGGCTGCTGGCCGTGCTGCGATCCGCGCTCCAGACTCCGGCCTCATACGAGACCGCTGTCTGAACGCGTTGTGACCGGACGCCAATTGCCAGAAGCATGAGCGCGGAGGTCAAGCGTGGTTACCAAGATGTCACAGGTCGCTCCGCAGCAGCCGTCATGCCTCATCCTGGGGGACGAGATCGAGAGCGGGAATGGCCCAACGCGCTCATAAAACGCTACCGCATCGAGGTCGCTGCCAGCACATCCAGCGTCTTCTCTACCCTCGCCGCCTTCCCTCTCGACAGCGTCAAGACACGCATGCAGACGTATCAGTATCGAGGCTTCCTGGATTGCGTCCAGCACACATACCGCACCGAGGCTCTGGCGGGGTTCTTTCGAGGTGAGTTTTTAACCCCGTCGTCTGGATCGATGTAACAATTATATCAAGGCAATGCCCGTCTAACCTCGCATTGCAGGCGTCACCGCCCCCATGGCGAGCATCACGCTCGTACGCACCGTCTCCTTCTCGATATACCGCAGAGCAAAACACGTCTATTCCGGCTGGATCAAACAAAAGTCTGGCTTCGACATCCACCGCCACGTCAGCACTCCTGGAACATATCCCAATCTTTATTCGGTGGCCTGCTTCGGTGCCGCTGGCGCTACAGCAGGGTCTGCAATCACGTTTTTGGCCTGTCCGTTTGAACTCACAAAACTCAGCGCTCAGGTTTCTGTGCTGCTGGCGGAGCGTTCCGGGGACTGCAAACGAAGTCGCGAGGTAGCCAAGAGCTACCAGAATAAGGGGACGTTGAAGACTATGGCCAATATCATCAAGCACCGGGGAGTATTGGGACTCTATACCGGCTTCCAGCTACATCTTTGTAAGTGCTCTCTGGGGCTGCAATGGCTGATTTCTTGGGTTCGTTTTACCTTTTGCTTCCATGTTTGCCAACTCACGCGATTCTGGGGGGCAGTGCGTGATACTTTGGGTACGGCCATCTACTTTATGGTGTACGAGAGCGGAAAGCAGCTCGGAACAACATTCGCTGGGGATAGTCCAAATAGCAACAAGTTGGCTGTCGTTACCGCCGGAGGCCTTTGCGGGTTGGTCTCATGGGCCATGATTTGTGAGTATCTTGTCATCATCACATCACTCCAAAACGTTGCAACTCTCAGCTAAACAAGGGCCACACAATACAGATCCCATCGACTCGGCAAAGAGCATCTACCAGAGGAACGCCCTTCTTTACTCACGCGGGGAAAAGGTCGAACCGGCCCCGAAAATCGAATTCTTCAAGCGTCACATGTACCGCGGCCTGGGCGTCTCCATGATCCGGTCCTGCGCCGTCAACGCCATTTTCTTCTCATCCTTTGAAATCATCAAGAAGCGCATCAAGAGTCTCGACGACGAGAAGCCTTGATGAAATGTTTACGATTGTTGATGCTATTTTTTCTTTCTTTCAACGTGTACAAGCCAAAGTATTGGTCAAAGAGGGCGTATGACTTTTCTCCCCGGTCTCTTTTAACCCCCCCTTTTTTTACTTCTTCTGTTTTTTTTTTATCTCATGGCCTTTGGAAGATGGGCCTCATAGTTAACTTTGTGGCGTTTGCGGTTCTCTTGTCATTTTTCTTCTTCTTTCCTCCCGTTTTCATTTCTGTCGTTATTTATTCTGAGCTCCCCATCCCCGTTTTCCCCACCAAACAAGCCGTTGCCAACGATCCAAGCTTATCCGAAGTGATTGGCACATTGCATTACGAGCTCTTTTTATTATGACAGAGTAGTTATCCGTTAGCAGCCAAGAGAGATGAAAGGTCTCAGAGGGAAGAGCTGTTTTGGCACAGGGTCTGTCATGTAGTCTTGATGAATATGGACGAGAGAAGAAACTATATAAATACCATGAAATGCACATCCGTTGAAGCTTTTACTTTGTGATGCCTCCAGAGTGTCTGTTATATATCTCTTGGCCTCTGGCGCGTGGCTATATCTTGCAATTGACTGCAAAATATGATACATTGACTATATATACTGTAGTTCCTTGCCAAGGTGTTGTAGAATAGGAGTTGAGGGTACAATCAGGCCGTCGCATGGACCAAAATTGTTTAGATATAACACTCGACTGTGCAGATAAAAAGTCTCTAACTAGGATTACCCGCCATTGAAACCTTTCGTGGCATACATCCCCCCTTCCTAAGCGATAGTATAACCTTTTCCTTCCCCCCGATTTTCCTTTCCGTGTCCTACCGAATCACCAGAGCCAATACCGTCTAAATAGCGGCGAGGAAATCTGTGACCGTGTAGAATGTAGATGTGATCGCCCTGTTGAGCTACCAGCAACTTGCTTCACCCTAATATGCTGCGACTCAATTGCTATTCCGAGCATTGATGATCTCACGAACCTTCTGCCAGTCATTGTTTACTACAGTTATCCTCTTCTCTCTCTTATCGAGGTCAGCGAATTCTGCCGGCGTCAACCTTGCCTCAACGCTGAAGCCGTCCTCGCCGTGAAGCGCTCTTATCACAGTATCAGCAAACTTAGCTGGGTGTGCCGTCGAGAAAGAGATGTGTGGAGTGTTCGCATGTGTACGGTTCATTGATCTTTGTGTTGCTGCAGCGCCCACCGCAGAGTGAGGATCAAGCACGTATCCGGACTTCCGATAAACAGCCTTGATGGTTTCGATGGTTTGTTGATCCGTGACTCGCTCGCTCTCAAAGTCTCGTCTAGCGCTCCTGATAACGTCGCGATATACAGGGCCAAAGAACCCTTTTTTATCGAGATCCTGGAACCACTGATAAACTTCCTGACTGGCTTGCCTCTGGTTCCAGAGAAGGTCCATGCCTGCGCTTGATGCGAACTCGCAGGCGAGGAACCATAGCAGACGCTCAAAGTTATGGGAAGTGAGGATATCCATTGCAGGGCTGAGAGTCTTTTTGACGCCATGCCCGCCACGGCCGACATGCTGCTTCTCATACCGGCCCGTCTTCCAGAAGCGATCAAGGATGTCATTTTCGTTGGTAGCGATGACAAGTTTGTCGACGGGGAGGCCCATGTGCAAGGCAAAGTACCCGGCGAGGATGCTGCCGAATTTGCCAGTCGGGATAACAAACCGGACCTTGTCGCCAGTCTTGAATGACGCAGACTTCTTGACGAGAGAGAAATATGAGTAAAAGTAGAGCACGATCTGAGCCAGGATCTGAGCCCAGTTTCTCGAGCTGACAAGATCAAAGTCTTCGTTGGCTTGCTTATCAGCATGTAGGCGGCGCAGGATGTTCTGGATGTCTTGAGTTTAGGAAAGAAAATCAAATCAAAGGATAAAACGCATGAAAGCGTAGATGGGGAGAACAGCAGGGTAGCAACCTACCTGACAATCGTCAAAGGTGCCGGCAACGGCCAAGCTGCATACGTTGTCGTCCGGCACTGTAGTGATCTGGGCTTCTTGAACAGGTGAGATTTGTGCCTGGGGAAACATGACAAATACGGATATGTCCCTTTTCCCCCTCAAGCCGTGGACGGCAGCAGAGCCTGCATCGCCTCTGGTGGCACCGACAAAGGTAAGGCGATGTCGGTCTGCTAGGAAGAATTCATCATAAAGGATAAGCGAGTCTCTATGGCTATAGAGAGTCCCATGCCCGCCTTTGTCTCACCACGTAATACTGCTGTACGTATACGTGACCCTCTAGGGGATGACATCAACGGGTGGCACGTGGGGCGATATGGATGGCGTACCTGCGATGCTTGTTTTGTCTTTGTTTTTCTTCACGAGAAAATACTCGAGCAGGTTGCCCAAGAACTGCGAGGCGATGTCCTTGGAAGCAAATGTAGGGCCGTGGAACAGCTCGAGGAGGAAGTGATTCTCCTTGAGTTGGACTAACGGTGTAACCTCTGGGGATCGAAAGGGCGAGTAGCTGCGCGCAATGATGTCTCTGAGGTCGGCGGGAGGGATTTCGGAGGGGGAAATGTAAAGGGACATGATCTCGAAAGCGAGCTCTGGAAAGCCAAGGTCTCCCCATGACTCCCACGCAGTAGCACGCGGAATCTCTTCAGGAATGTATAAGCCGCCATCAGGGGCAACACTGTTCAGGACGACTTCCTCAAATGAGAACTGGCACAGAGACGGAATCGTTAGCTGCTAGGATGCTGCCGGAGTTCTCAGCTTTTTGCAGAGGGCAGAGACGTATAGACGGTGGATGGCAGCGAATAAAAAAAATCCGCGCTGAAGGATAGCTTGGGGAAGAAGAGACTTAGGGAAGTGTCTTCATACACCACTATCCTGTCCGCGAGTGCTCAGGTAACGGTACGACGCATTCTCATCCGCCGTGTCGTCTGGCGCCATGGCTACCTGCGTAGCTCCCGAAGCACCGCGATTTGAAGCCCCAAGACGTCAGGGGTAAAGAGATGAAACAGCGCGGTCGAGAGAGGCGTTGGTCGAGGAGCGATACGGGCAGGGGGGAACAAGCAAAATCAAAAGAAGAGGTTTTTTTTTTTACTAAGCTTGAGGTGAGAAAAGAGGGCGCGACTATCTGGTAGAAGCTGCTGAGGAGTAGAGACAAAGAGGGCTGTAAGTCAAAGCAGGGCCACTAACAACCTACTAGTAGGGAGATATCGATCAACTTGGCGTATGACCAGGAGTACCAGTACGGCGCCACAGCCCCCGGACAGGTCGCGGCTACATGGCAGGTACTCATACACGGCACAGGAGACGCAGGCCAGGGGTTCGTACCCAATACCAGCCAGGGTTGCCGCCTGCCATCGTCAGAGACACCATTTCATCTGTCCCAAAGGTCCCAGTACGCACACACAGGACAGTCGGCTTGGGCGTGGGGCAAAAAGTCTTTCGGCACCGTCTCTCCTCTGACCAGTGGCAGCCCCTCCCGCATCCCCTTTGTGCTTAGTGCGGGGTGGCTCTCTTTTCGTTTCCTTTGTGTCGGTGACAGTCCTGCGGCTGCATGTGCCTTGTGCCTCTCTGCCTCGGACTGGTATGTAGTCTAACCATGTAACCTTTCGGGAGCCCAGCTTGAGACTGGTATCTCGGCGGGGAGTTGAGAAAAGCCTAACGCGCGCATGCTGTGAGCGAGTATGCATCCATATCTGGATTTTTTACGGCGACAAGGTGCCAGAGGGTTGCGCGCGCTTCCAACAAGCCCCTGGTCGACTTGCCCATCCCATGGCAAGGTGCCCAGCCCTAAAAAAGAATCCAGTAGATGGTCAACGGCAACCACGCCGTGGACGGATCCTGGTTCGCGGTCAAAATCAATGCGTCTGGGGCTCTTTCGTCCTCACTGCTACCGTCTGATGCTGGTGGTTAGGAACCGGGCCCTGGAGCTGTGAAGAGTTCGGCTGAACGGCGCGTTTTCGATATTTCCTTCGAGTCCCCAGACGGTAGCTGGTGGGCCCAAAGAAAGAAGAAACGTAAAAGGGTCGGTTCGGGGATCTGTCGCATGAGCACTTCTCATGCCTCTCTCTTCTCTCCTATTCCATGGAAGCAAGCCTGCCACCGTACTGACACTGGTCTGACATGGATTGCTTTAGGCCGTTAGGCGAGTTTGTGGCTCGGACAGTCCGTACCATTGGCCGTGTCTTTTTGAGGTTTTAGAAACTAGCCAAAGACCCGCAACAATAGTCCAGATAGCACCAAGGGCTTGAAGGAATGTCCACATGTCTAGTTCATCGGAAGAGTTGAGACTGCTGCTAAGGCTTATTGTTTGCAGCTCGTTCAAGTCAAAGAGCCATGTTTCTCGGGGCAAACTATGGATAGTTTGAACTAGTGCTGCAGTGTAATCGACTTCCCATGGTCTGGGGCTAGCCAAAGTCTCCAAGTGTTCTATCGTGGGTTCATCGCTCGGAGTTGATGCGACTGATTCAACAATTAGAGTAGTCGCACGATTCCAGACCAGGGTATCAAACGTACAGATTTAGGTTGCGCGAACAGACGGTATGCAGGCTGGCGCAGGCTGATGCGTGCCTCGAGCTCATTTGATGAGCTTTTGTTGTACGTAAAATGGGTGACAGGAGACCCTTTCCACGACCGACATCCGTATGACTTTCGCCAGTCACAGTTGCTTCTACAGTATCACATCATATGAATTTCCCCACTGCCCGACTGACCACTTGTTTTTTTCGCATCGGCCCCAACGGGAGAGCCGTTTGGACATTGACATGACCTTGTCGGATTTGTTACCCTGAACTTTTTGTTCATTTCACATTGCCGCGACCGCGGACGCAACCCATGTCCGAGAATGACGTGAAAAAGTGGCGCCTGCTCACCAGTCTGTTAGCCATGCAGGCTTTCTGCATATCCGAGATGGGCCTGGGTATGGAGAAGGACTGGCCTCTTGGATTCAGCGCCAGTTAGGCACAGTGACGTTGGTCATGCCCAAATGCCTACTAGGCACCTAAGCTATCTCCAATAGAGGCTTATCCGCCTTTGCGGCCATTGGCTCCTCGGCTCCCTTGAGCAGCGTTTTGCGAGAAGGTGTCGCTTTCAGCCACTGCACACCACAGCCGTAACCTTGTCCCCCATGCGCAAGCATCTCGTCGTCCCCATCTCTACCCAACATGTATGTACATGGCGTGGAAATCCCGAATACTCTACTTCTGGTGATGATTCGTTCGTCATAGTCTTGGCGGGTCACACCAACCACCGCACTTTTTCTTCTTCTCGGGAGAGAAGGAGGCGGCTCTCGATCCAGGGAGTAGCCGCTGAGCTGTAGTATCAGTTATTTCGATTTGGTTAAATATAGATGTGACATATCCACTCGTAGTATATTCAGATACGATGCGCCTTTCTTGTTCCTGTCGTCTGCTTTCCGTCATGGTTTGCGTACAGACTTTAGCAGCGGGGCAATCTTAAATCGCTTGCTCAGCCCAACCCTGTACAGGGGTTTGGCCATCCCTTGTGCCGAAGATCCCTTCTTGTCACCCCCCGATTTATCTTCTCTCCCTCGTGCAGCAGGTTGCCTTGGCCCTTTGGATTCGTCTTCGTCCTGTGGCCTGTTGGGAATGCTCTGGCTGGTGGCATGATCCTTCAGGTTCCTCTGGCTGCCTGGGGCTGCCTGGTGCCGGACACGCTCCGTGTTTTCTGCCGCGGACGAGGCGTCTTCGGCAGCTCCTGGCTCACTTGGCATCTCCACTGAGCTTTCCTTTGCGGCTATTTGGACCTCGTCTCCATCATTCCTAGCTGAAGCCTCTTCTTGGCCCAAGATGGCTCTCGTATTTTTGCTAGGGACAACGGCAGAGACGGGAGTGGCGGCGGGAGGCGGGGCACCGTCTACAGCTGTATCACTCGACTGTTTCTTAGGTCTCCCTCGTTTCTTCTTCTGCATCGCTGCCTCTGGTGTTCCATCAGCCGCCGCCGATACAGGACCTGCAGCCTGTTTCATTGGCAGGGGCTCCTCAGTTTCTGGAGGCTTCTTTGGACGCCCCCTCTTCTTCTTAGATTTGACTATTGGCGTAGGATGTGCCACGAACTCGGCATCACTCTCCTCCGGCTGCAACTCTCGTGGTGGGGGCTGATGAGCTGAAGAATCTCTTTCGTCACAGCATTCCTGATCGGGCTTGGACTCAGGATTTAGGCCAGGAGAATACTCCAGCTCGGACTGCAAAATTTGATTAGCCCTCAATGCGTGATGCCCTGGTTGCCAGCCCACTCACAGTAACTTTGTCCAAACCGGGTGTCAGGGTAGAGATGATGTCGGGGGATGAATCCCTTCGTGTGGTAAAGCTTCGGTACTCTACTTTCTTCGTAGCCGCCTCCCCGGCTTGCTTCCTAGGAGTTAGAGTGCTAAAATTATGACTTGAGAGCATTTGACTTCGCGGCGTGTTGACATTGGTGACCGTTCCACTGGAGCCAACCGCATACTGTGTCTGTTGCTTCAAGAGCAAATTGTTGTATTTTGGAACGTCGTTTGATGTCGAGATCATCTCGATATGAGATAACGGCTGGCGTTCTGTTGGGGACGGGTGTGTTGGATAGAATGTCGAATTGGCGTCAACAGGCAGCGTAGGAAGCGGGATACTAGATGCTGCCGCCGTCCCCAGTTCCTCATTGATGATATCCTTGTTACTGGAAGGAAACATAATCAAATTAACGTCGTCTGTTGCCGAAGGTGTTTCCCTATTAGACTCGTCTAGCCGTCTCCGTTTGTTGCTTCGGCTTTCAGCAAGTTCATGGTTATCCCAATGGCCATCTGAAAGTGCACCCTTAGTAGTAGGTGATACATCTTTCCTATACGATTGATCCGATCCCTTCGATTGCCTTTGCAGAGGTTCGGGGGCTTCTGGACTGCTAGGAACTTCCCAAAGGTCCACCTTGCCAGCCTCACTTTGCTTCTGCATTGAGGAGAGGTTCTGAACCAAATCCAACGAAGGTCTTCCTATCTGGGTGTTTTGAAGCCTATCCGTATGAGGGTCTGTGGCTGATGTGGTGGATGAATGATAAAAGCCTTTGGTGGTTCGCTGAAAGGGAACATCTGGGATGGTCATGGCCGAGCTCTGATGCGGTGCATCGTCGAAATCCCGCTGTAGCTGCTGGGTTCTCTCGCAAGCGGCTCCATACTGCTCGTTAAAGACTTGCTGGAAGAAGAGCGAATCAGTTGACGCAGTGGCAAGGCTTCCATGCTCAAATGATCGTGTTTGTGCCTGGTGAACTGTTATAGCTGGAGCGGCGGCAACGTGCTCGTTTGAGTCACTTTCGTCATCAGAGTCAGCAATAACCACTGGGCTCATGCTGATAGCCAACGGGTTAAAAAAAATGAATGGAAAAAAAGGAAAACAATCCGCCACCACCTGATTGCAAATCTCCGAGCGCTTTACTTGAATTCTACAGGTGAGGCTGTGGTGGTCGTTGGGCGTAACGCGGTCTGACGTCCACTCTAACGCGCGGCCACGTGACCTCTTTATCGCAGAGCTCGTATTCCAACATCCCTTCAAGGGCACAGTCCAGTACTCCGTACCTAGATGGCATGCTATGGGTACGGAATGGAAATGGAGACGCTACTAATCAAATGGGTTGTTTATTAAGGCTAATCGCTTTGCAAGATTGTAGTGCGCCAATTCACGCTATAATTGTAGATTCGGGAGCAAGGGACGCTGCGGCTGGCCCTTCAAATGTGCTGCAGAGCCTTTGTAGAGGCTTTGCCAAATAAAGGCTTCGCTCAAGAGCAACTCGATATCCTTTTCCGTCCACGCCTTCGTAGGAAGGCTCTGTAGAAACATCATGATTTCCTGGAAATCCATCTTCACTAGTTTATCAGACCACTTTACAAGAAGCGCAGCGCAAACGTAGAGGTGGAATTCTGAGAAGCCCTGTTCTTCGGCCTGGGTACCTTGTCGTTAGCCGGGCCATCGGGTAGATTAGTAGGTAACTGTTGAGAGATGGACTTACGAGGTATGTATCCCACATACGAATCGTGTTCTTGACGCTGATCTCGCGCATAAGGAGACAATTCATCCACCGAAAGCTAAACTGTATGAACTCAACGCCCTCATGCTCAAGGTGCTTTGACAAGTTTGAATCGATTCTAGCAGTCAGGTCGCGCAAAGCCGTAACCTGTCTCTGGATGCCTGGCTGTGCGACAATATAGTGATCTTGGATGCCATCAAGAAGTTTGGTGAGGCACCAGAACGAGTCGGCTTCCACAGCATCCAAAACTGATTTGGGCAGTTGACCGGGATCCATGCCCGTCTCAATATCGGGGTCTGCAATGTAAAGCCCCAAGAAAACTTCCCAGAATGGTGTTACTAGGTCGTTGATACCCTGCACGTATCCGCTGGCAGGATGCCTGACAGCCCAGACATAGAGGATGCGTTCCAGCGACCTCTGTGTTGCCTCATAACTATAAAGCTCAATGTGAGGGTTCGTCCTAGGAATGTCGATGCTGATCTGGTGCCAGACAGCTTCGTCCAAGCCTCTCGCTTTTCCGGCAGAGGAACTGTTGTTAGTTGTCCCTCCTCTTTCAAACGCTTGCTTGACCCCGTCTAGATACTCCTTTCTCTTTCTCTCCAAGGTCGCAACACGCCGTTCGCTGTTCGTAGGGAGATAACTAAGAAGGAGTTGCCAGGTCATGGCGCGGACTTCGTGTGGTACCCCTGACCATGCTAGTGTGCGAAGGTCAGGGAGCGATATCGACGATGCTTGTAGTAGTCGTTTGAACTTATTTATACGCGTTATACGGGAGTTGATTGCATCGGCTTCTTTCTGCGGTGCATTGCTGGGAATAGAAGGATAGTTGATCAAATGAAGCGCATTTGCCGGATCTTGTCAACGAGTCAATAAGTCTTGTAAGCCAGCTGGTAAGAGTTTCGGCCTGACCTTTTAATATGTCTTTATACTGAGGTCGGAGGATCTTGCCCTCACTTTTCTTGGGCATGGGGTAGGTTGATGCTGGACGCTCGGCTGCGATATCTGCGCTGTTCGAGTACCGTCTGCCTTGAATTCTACCAAAGGAACCGTCATCCGCGGGAGACAGAGTCCCCTGATTCAGAGAAGACTTGTTCTGGGTAGCTATTCGCTTCGACCTCCTCTTCATGTTTGAAAGACTAGGGAGCCCAAAGTCGTCTCCGTCGTCGTCTTCATATCCTAGCATTTCGTCTTCGTCCGCCTTCCAATCATCGTTGGTCTTCGACAGGAAGTTGATATAGCTCTTGAACGGCGGCGAAGTGGAGGCCATTGAGCCACGTTGGTGTGGTGGAGTGGTGTCGGCGATGCGATTTCTCGAGGACGACGTCGAAGGGGGGGTTCTAGGACGAGGCGAAGAAGAGTTGGAGAGATTTCTTTGTCTCAAGTTAGCGATACACAACAGACATGACGGGCCGGTTTGCGGTAGAGGCGCACAATGAATCGAACTTGAGAACATCGGCATGGGAATACGCGGCCCCAACGACCAGATTAGAGCCATCTCGGCCACCTGGGTTAGTAACGTTTCTCCTAGAAGAGCCATCTCGTAGCGGCGGCCTCCAGAACGGCGACACTGATCTGTACCAAGGAGTGGCATTAGCGAAAAGGGCGAAGGGCTGGGGGGACGACTGCGGCGATGGAAGCATACTCAGACCGATCTAACACGTAGAGCAATTGGGCTTCGGTCAGTAACAAGTTCCATTACTCTGCTTTCGGGGGGCATTGCCCAACGCGACGGGAGGATTTCGATCAACGTACCGACCTGTACCATCTCCTGCGGCTGGAGACCGGCAGTTAGCATCACCACTCGCCGCCAGTTGCGACACAAGGCCGAGGCGACGTCGACTTACTGCATTGACCGGCTTCTTGCCGCTCCCAGAAGACGACCACATGTTCACGAATGGTCGTCGAAAGCGCAAAGGTGAGGCGTCATTATGCGGGGTGTTGGGTTAACAGATAACAATGCCAGTGACTGTGCGAAACGAGCTGGAACAACCCGGTGATGATCCTCGTTCGAGTCTTTGTCTCAGCCAAGCTCCATTTAGGCAGTGTGGCCTGGTCGGATTCGTACTCGTAGCCCGTCAATGCTAAGTTCCCAGTTGGTACAAGAGGCATGGGACGCGCTGAGGTGCCGGTGCTGAGGCGGGGTAAATGCCCTGTAGGGTCGCTGAAGGGGTCCTCATAGCGGCAATACGCGCTAAAGGCTGTGCGTTTCGCCTGCGGGTGGCGAGGCTGCCGCTGCTGGGTACCTGCGGAGACTTTTGGGCTTGTACTCTACATCGGATATACCTTTGCACTAACAGACTTGGGCTATGGTACACGCATCTTGAAGTTATTCTCGTTAGTATCCTTTTGGGCTTTTTGTGACTTTCAATGGTATACGGCCAGCCTTGCTTCACGCAAGGGGCAGAAAACAGGGTGCAGCAAAGTAGAAAAGGGCTATTCGAAGCCTCAATTCTTTTTGAGTTTACCTTCTATCGAACCGCAATTTTTTAAGCCATTGCCGCATTTCTGGCGAGAAATAGAGCCTTCGCTGCAGACCGTCAACGGACTCTCCGTACCTAACTTAGTCAGCAGCTGCGTAAGGTAGCAAGGCACAAGGCCTTCAGTCAAGCTTTCCTAAGGAGCAACCTCGTCCTCGACCTTACATCCAATCTTCAATTGCTGCGCCATTACCCCAACAATCTCCTTGCCTTCATCGCCCAGTTGGGCATCAAATCACCTGTTATTTACCATTTAGGGAAGATATTTTCTTAGCCAGGATACTTCTACGGCGGCCGATTTCTACGCTTTGGCACTGCTAGAGACCCAGAATCGCGGTGTCGGGTCTTCTCGCCTCACGTCAACCTTATTTCCATCTCCTACCACACCATTTCCATCATGACCGAAGCGGAAAACTTCGAGGACGATCTTTTCGCCGACCTGTAAGGCTGTTCGGTTTTTTCCCGGAACTCATTGCTCGTCACCATACTAACCTGATGATTCTTAGCTACGAAGATAATGATGCAAAGCCTACCGCGCCGGTCGCGAGGAGTGCGGTCCAAAATACCGACACCAAAGCTCATGACCAGCTCGAGCCGGCTGCTCCCCCTGCTCCTGTTGGTGATGAAGACAATACCGGCTACGATGCGATGAACCAAGATGCAGACGACGATGAAGACGATGTTGACTTCAACCTGGGAGGAGGAAACGCTTCAAGCAGCGCACATGTGATGCCGCAAGATGATATGCCAACAACCCCTCCATATGGGACCGTTCATAAAGCCAGTGCCAAGGAAGATGGGTGAGTTCCCCCTGTTCTGTGAAGCTCTATAACACTTGGTGCATGATATTTTCTTTCCCACATTTCCTGCGACAAGTGTCGTCAGCAATGTTGCAATGTGATGATAAGAGGCTACCAGCCAGCGCGTAATCCTGCATCCTGCAACCACATGGCGGATATACATTTGCTTGGGGCAAAGTGGCTGGCTTGATTAGATGAGAGACCAATCAGGTTCAGCGGTGGGAAGGCCCTGGTCTACCGGAGAGCAAAGTGTCAACAAGCATGAGAGTTCATTTGGGGTATCCGGCAACGCCTGGAAGAATACATTGAAACGCCCTCCCAAGTGAGAAAACATTACATTCCTGGGGAAATGGAGAACAAGGAAGCGATGGCCTTTCGCCCATCAAGAAGCTGGGGGGTTTCAAGCTTTGATAAAGTTGAGAGCAAGATGACCTACCGACGACTTTTTTTTTTCCCAATTCCAAGATGGGAACTCTTGTCTTTATAGCTCTCGGTCACAGAGGTCTTAAAATAGCCCACGAGAGCATGTACACTCTTCTCGGGAGGCTGTAGCAAGATTGACAGCGGGTAGCGCTTAGGGTCAACTCGTACCTAGCAACAGACAGTCAGAGACAGAGTCAAACGATAGCACACAGACGAAAAAGACAGAAGAAAAGAAAGGAAACAAATTCGACACTTGTCTGGCACCTTGCGTCCCTCTGCAATCGCTGTCATGCCATTGGACATCTCATCAAGCATTGCATCGCAGTGGGGCCCATTAACCGCCATCGTTGACAACTCTTGACATAATCTCAACTTCACCATTTCGCCAAGTAAGAGACAATGCTGGGTCCGTATCGCGTCAGATATTCTGGGGAGCTGGTGGCCCATCAACGTGGCTCTTGAGGCTATGCGCATATCAATCTTTTATGATATGTCCTTTTATACGACAAGCAACAGGGGCAAGCTCACAGCCTGGCGGATATCTACGTACGCTCTCAGCTGGCTGCCATCTCCAAGCCATTCGACATGATAACAACAACAATGTATTCGACGGATTTGACCATGGCTTCCCATTCATACGCTAGAGAAGGCCGGCAACTGCTTCATCGCTCCTCTCACCGTACCGCTGAAATTTCTCATGCTCAATCCCATACACTGTTACTGCTACCGCGAACTGCCGTTTCTTCTTCTTCTTCAATTACGTGTTATCTACATGAGGGCAATAATATTATGTCTATGCTGGCTGCTAACCATTTGCTGATCTAGAAAAATGTTTATTGGTGGATTAAACTGGGAGACAACAGACCGTACGTCCCGAATTATGCCATAGGCGAGCTTGGAGATTGCTAACAGCCCATAGAATCGCTACGAGATTACTTTTCCCAATTCGGCGAAGTTGTTGAATGTACCGTCATGAGGGACAGTAGCTCCGGTCGATCACGAGGATTTGGTTTCTTAACCTTCAAGGACCCCAAAACTGTCAACATTGTCATGGTCAAGGAGCATTTCCTAGATGGAAAGATTGTGAGTTTACTTTCCTGCCGCAACCCCTCATGGTTGAAACTGCCTTTTGCTGACTTGGACGTCCAGATCGACCCAAAGCGGGCTATTCCTCGCGATGAGCAAGAGAAGACGAGCAAGATTTTCGTTGGTGGAGTCAGCCAGGATACCACAGACCAGGAATTCAGGGAGTACTTTGCCCAGTTTGGCCGAGTGGTTGATGCCACCTTGATGATGGACAAGGACACTGGCAGACCCCGAGGGTTTGGGTTTGTCACCTTCGAAAGTGAAGCTGGCGTGGATGCTTGCATCAACGTGCCTCTCGAGATACATGGGAAGCCCATCGAAGTCAAGAAGGCTCAGCCGAGGGGCAACCTACGAGAAGAAGAAGAGGCGGCCAAGCGTGGAAAGTTTCGAAAGGGCGAAGAACAGTCTGTGCAAGGTGGAATGGGCCAGCAGATGGGAGGCAACAACTCGGCCATGACGCCACAGCTGATGGCTCAATATTTCCAGCGTATGCAGCAATACTTTGCCATGATGCAGTCGCAGATGGCCATGTCGCGAGGCATGCCCATGAACCCGGCCATGTGGCAGCAGATGCAACAGATGCAGCAGATGCAGCAGATGATGGGTCGTGGCGGTGGCCCTGGACAGAACATGATGGGCCAGATGAATCCTCAAATGATGCAACAGATGCAGCAGATGCAGCAGCAGATGATGCAGCAACAGCAACAGGGAGGCGGCCAGGGCGGAGACGGCTACAATGGCTACGACCAGTACCAACAGCAAGGCCCCCAGGGTCCTCATGGCGGCCGGCGAGGCGGTCGTGGAGGCTATGGAGGCGGCGGATATGGCATGGGCGGCGGCGGAGGGGCTCCCACTTCATGGGAAGGCATGTACGACGACGTGCCACAGCCTAATGCCAGTCAGGGGTCATCTCGGCGTGGCGGAAGTGTTGGCCACGGAGGCACGTCGGATGCCCAGCACTCACCACCAGCGAACGCCCCAACAGGGCCCAAGAATGCTGGAAAGCCGGGTGCAAATTACCGCGGCGGAGGACGTGGCGGAAACAGAGGCTTCCATCCCTATGCCCGATGAAACTAGCAGCCAACGACACTTGATGGCTACGAGGGGAGCTCAAATCGACCATTGTTCAGCGGAACGGACCTTTTCGTCACCACTCCTTTTACTGGATGACGGAACTTGTATTACTACTCAACACCCAGATGAGAGGTGCTGGAAAGATCTACGAGGTTGAGGAATTTACCCCTGATGGAGGAAGAAAGAGAGTGAGAGAGAGAGGCGGCAACTTTTACGTGGGGAAAGGAGGGGGGGGGGGGGGGGGGGGGGGGGTTTTAAAATTAAAAAATTCATTAAA